AAAAAAAACAACTTAAACATTCAGCTCAGAGTGCTTCAATAAGAGCTCATGGGTATATTAAGTCCTGTTTTCGTTTCCAAATACAAAATTTAATAATATCAAGATTAGTGAAAAACAAGCACTACAATACCTGCCAAAAACTATCCTTCAGTTTGACAGCAATTTTCACTCTACAGAAGGTTAACAGCCAAATTTATAAGAGAATCGCCATCTTGCCACCTTGTGAACTTATATACAAATACACTTTTAACATACAAAAATAGCCTTCTATTAAACCAATACATGCTGACCAGACGAAAATCAAGCTTATAGTTTGTCGGCATTATACCCTGAGGCGCTCGCTTTCGGGGTAGTAACGCAGGAGAATATCGCGCATGTAATTGACCTTCACATCGCGCGTCTGGAGGAGGAGATTAGGAGGGAGGTACCTCTCCAGTGAGCTGAAGACTGATGAGCTGAAATCTAGCTGTAGATCCTCGTAATTATCGGGCTGATGATCTGAATTAGGGTTCAATCTCAGCCTGTGCGTCAGATATGTCGGCGGCGCCACGGGGGAGACGATCAGCTGACCTGCGCTGTTACCGTTGCCGTTAGCGAGCCCCGGATGGGCCGCACCGACTGGATCTGGTCTGCCATGAGTGGATCCTGGGATGGATGCGCCGTCGTGAGCCATCGGAGAAAAGACAGATCCTCTCTTGGGGTTTCTAGCATCAAATGTGACTTATTAGACGGTTTAAAGGTATTCGCCTGTATAAGATGGTGGTGCATAGGACAATTGAAAGCTAGGGCATGCTTGTTTACGGATTATTTTGTCCAAAAATGTGAGTTATTTGTATTTGAGTTAATTGAGTAAAATTCTACTTTAAACAAATTAATCCACGTGCTGCCATGTGAATCCATTGTCTTCTTGTGCTTGGACATTCTCCACTTACCCCTATATATTAACCAGTAGGGTCCGAGACCCTCTCATTTTATAATTTGTTATTTTATTTGTTAAGTTTTAATAGGAGAATTATGAATTTGTCATTTGTCCATATAGAAGCTCAAAGAATAAATAAATATGGACATCATCACAATGTGTATTCACCTGAGCAAAAAAAAAACACCAACCAAATAGAAATACATCATTCATAATAAAATCACCGTTTGCAGTTCAAAAGGAAACAATGTCGGATTACAAAAATCAGTCTCCATAACCATCCAAAACACAATTCAAGTAATGGTAACCTCAAATAGAGCACAATGATATGGAACAAGAGTGAATGTGCACGTCGAGCCTTCAACGATTTCACTAATGTCGACAAATTCCCTAGCATGCATATTTTGCATCAAAATTTTGCCATGGGGAGCAACAATTTTCAGTTCGTACGTAGTTTCATCATACATCAAGATGCCCGAACCAAGTTCGTACATTCACCCACCACATGTGACCGCTAGAATTGAATTGGAACCGGCTACATTTGAAACATGTTATTAATGTAATGTGGTTGAAATAAATTGAATAAATATGGACAACATCAAATTGACAATAATTAAGACGATTACCAAGTGTGCACGTTCAATGTGTGTTTTCTTTATCTAGAGAGTAAAACGATGTAACAGAGGGAGCTTAATAGCATTATCCTGAACCACAGTGACTGAAAAGTCTGTCAAGGTAGTGCGGTCGAACCAAAGATAGTACTCGGTCCGTATATCCTCCGCACGCAAGAACTGTAGCAACTCGTCATCGAAGTATATCCGCTCATCATTCCCTCTGATTGTCACCTCATGCGCACGACCTTCTCTCATGGTCAGCGTAGAATGAATTGGTACAAGGAGCATGTATTGATGAACGAGACCACCCGGGAGTCTCTGTAATGGAGTATAAACATTGGTTACTAAAGGCACAATTAAAAAAATAACTACATTTGATCAAAATTCTTCGATTCTACTATACGTTACCATTGTTGGTCTGGTGGTGTTGGAAATAACCAAAAAGAATCTTGACAAAGGAGTCGTCTTCTTCAGAAACGAGTCGGCACATGACGATAACACAAAAAATGTCCAAAACAACAGATTGTGGTTAGGGTAATAACCAACCATTCAATTGTCCTTCAAATGACAAATGTAAAACATTGACATAATGCAAAAATATCCTACTGAACTCCGTGGAACAAATAACACACAATCCAAAAACGAACGAATAAATTTATAATGATATTATTAACTGTGTTGTCTTTCAAACATCTTTGCTAAAGCCCTCAATTTGCGGACACTGGTTTTCACTAATTTCCACTTTACCATGAATAACTCAAGCCCTAAAATTGATAGTTTTTTAACATAACTCAAGCCCTCTAAATTGACAGCTTTTGAACATAAGTCAAGCTCTCTAAAAGCCCCCAAAATATCTTTCGCAGGGAATTTCACAAATTTGTTGAAGGAAAATAACTGAAGCCTAAAATCGGTCCACCAAAAAATTTGACAGCTTTTGAACAACAAATTTAGAACGAACATTGAATGTTGATACAATGGGAAGGAACTTCAAATCGTACCCAGTTAATTATGGACAAAGAACTACACATCTACAAACAATTGTTTCTCAATGACGTTAGGTGAAGGAGAGAGGACGGGGAAAGAACCTGCTTGGGGCGAGCGGCAAGCACAATTGGGAGCACAAAATGTTGTCACTACTTTCTTCTTGCGGAGGAATAGGGGAGGCGAAATTTCGTCGGACGCGTCGAGAAGGAAGGGTGGAAGAAATTGTGGAGTGAAAAGTGGCCTCTGTCCGAGTTTTTGTGAAGGGTGCAAAAGAAATTGTGGAGTGATGCTCTTTCCAACCGTTACAAATAATATAAAGTAATAATTACTTGTTGTATTATACCAACAAGGTGTATTTTTTTCTCCGGAACGATAGAGATAATATAAAAGAGCACAAAAGTGCAAAAGGAACAAATTACAAGACCCCAACAGGGTAATCTAAGACCCCAACAGGGTAATGAGACAGGGGCCAACGGTCCAAACCAAAAACACGCCTAGAAACAAACCGGAATAAAAAACTGAGAGGACACGCACATGGCGGCCTAGAGAACTCCACGAACGAAAAATAAAGAAAAATGAAAAACAGAGTCACTGCACGATGCCTAGCATGTATTCATCTCCGAAACAAAAACTAACAAACACACTAAGCAAGAAAGCAAATAAGGACAAAAAAACGAAAAACAACTAAACACTAACAACATGGCCTCCCTAAGCAGAGACTCCATAAAGGACAACAGACAATCAATTATGTTTTAATAGCATTTCTTGTTATAGACATGGTTTATATGGTATAATTTTTTGTCCCCCAATGTTTCTTTTAAAGTTATAAATACTACCTTAAATTATAAATATATATATAATATTAACATTAATAGTAATTGAAATTCAAATTACTCATTTATATTAATTCCAAAACAACAAAATTATTCAAAATAACTTTAACTACAAAACAGTTATATGATATGAATACCGAAATTATATAATAGGAGACCGATAACTCGTTCAAGTCACCGTGTCATTTTACCTATACCTAGTAATAAGTTTAAAAAAACTATTTAAAAAGTAAAATATAAATTTTGTAAATGATTATGTAATGGTAAATATAAATTTGTTACCAGTACCCGTGTAGTACACGGGTATTTTACGATTTTGAAATAATATGTTTGTTATTCTATTACCAGTGATCAGTGTTCTAAAAGTCTGATGAAGATTGTGTATCGAGACTCGATTTTGTGTAAGAACCCGTACTAACGGCCTTAGTTCGAACACGATAAAATGTGTAAACTCGTACTGACGGCCTTAGTCGACACATTATAAAGTGAAAAACCAGCACTATGGGCCTCGGTTTTTCACGAAGACATTACTCGAAAACGAGCTTTTTTCTTATTCTTATTTCATTAAACTTCTTCCTCTACAATAATGAATACATAGATTTTTATAGCCTAAACCTAATAATTTAAATGTTCAAATTATAACTAACATGTACTAACAAATTTAAGCTACATATTTAAAATTTAAACAAATAAACTAACATAAATAATAACTACTCCTGCCACAATGGTCCGATTTCTCTCAAAAGTCCGGTTCGCATAATTCTCTTTCCCTTCGAGTTTGTCCTTGTTCTCAAGGGCATGACCTTCGAATCATTTCTCCTCATCCTCGGAGTCATCCCAGATAGGAGGACAATCGTAGCCAGTTGAGGCTTGCTCGACCTCTTTGACCGTAAATAACGGGCTCCCATCATCCCCCAATAGCTCCAAATTGTTCATCTGTTTTTTTTTTAATTTTTACGCAAACACTAAAAGAAACAAGACAAATATTTTTTTTTTCTTTTTGTTTTCTGGCACTCACGCAAACGTTTTCAACATTTTTTTTTTTTTTTTGCCACTCTCGTAAAAGGATCTAGCCAAAGTGTATAAAAATCCTGATAACCTTCAAGCTTACTGCTCAAAAGGAATTTCACCCTCTAATTCAAAAGGAATAAAAATCCCAATATCTTGGCCTTTCCTTCCCCTTGCTCTCGGCTTGTCCTTGTTCCCGCCGATCAGTTGTATATATATATATTTTTTTTTTTCTTTTTTTTTTGGATCAGCCCAAGCCCCTCCACAAACATTTTTTCTTATGCCAAACTAAAATAACACAAATAAAAGATAGATAGATAGATACACTATCTCTCACTCTCAATGAAAACACCAATGATGAAGATCGTGTAACGGGACTCGATTTTATGTAAGAACCTGCACTAACGGCCTTAGTTCGAACACGATAAAATATGCAAACCCGCACTGACGGCTTTGGTCGACACATTATAAAGTGAAAAACCCCGCACTTATTTATTATTCTGCACCACTATGGGCCTTGATTTTTCACAAAGACAATACATGAAAACGAGCTTTTTCTTATTCTTATTTCATTAAACTTCTTCCTTTACAATAATGAATACATAGATTTTATAGCCTAAACCTAATAATTCAAATGTTCAAATTATAACTAACATGTAACTAACACATTTAAGCTACATATTTAAAATTTAAACAAATAAACTAACATAAATAATAATACTCCCGCCACAACGTCCGATTTCACTCGAAAGTCCGGTTCGCTTCAAAGTCGTTAAGCGCCCGCTAGGCGGTCGATTAGCGCCTAGCGTCTAGGTGGAGCCTAGGTGTCGCCTAGGAATCAATATTTAATACATTATTTTTATTTTTATTTTTAGGTAGCCAGCCACGGTATCTGGAACGTTGTCCCGACTAATCCGTTGGTCGACCCGGGTTGCACACCTGGCAATGGTGGGTAAGTCTCCCAACAAGGGTTTTCTGCATTCACAAGGAGTCGAACCCGAGACCTTGTTTAAGCGACATCAAGCTGATTACCATTTGAGCCAACCCCTGTTGAAAATTTATTTATTTTAACTACCTACAAAATAAAATATATCAACTAATAATAAATCGACATATCTAAGTCCAAACAATAATATTAATATATTTTCAAGAAAACATGAGAACAAAATAATGTAAATCGGAGGCACTCGGGCGCCGCCTAGCGCCTAGACGGCCGCCTAGGCCGATTTTTAGAACAATGCTAGTGATAAAACCTTGCGATATAGAGGGTTTTGTATCTTACAACACTTTGTTAAAAATTTATTTTAACGATATA